GGGACGCGGGGGAGGGCTCAGTGCCCAGCGGTCCCCCAGCTCCTCCGGCTGCGGCCACCTCCCTGCCCAGGGCCCCCGCGAAGCCTGCTGTCTTCATCCCCGTCCACCGATCCCCGGAAATGCAGGTTCGTGCCCCGGTTTTCGTGATAAGGCTGCGTGGTGAGGGTTCAAGGGCACGGACAGGGGCGGAGAGAATCATGGGTCGGCTGCCTCCTGCACGCCCCCCACTGGGGATCGAGCCCACAACCCCGGCATGTGCCCTGACTGGGAATCGAACCGTGACTTCCTGGTTCATAGGTCGACGCTCAGCCACTGGGCCACGCCGGCCGGGCCACCCACCTGTATAGAGACCACGCTGCCCTACATAGTCTTTGTCGGAGTAGAGCCCCTGTCCCCTCTGCCACCTGCGGGGACACCCCCCAGGCTGACTCCTCCCTCTGCAGGAAGAGCGCCTGAAGCTCCCGATCCTCTCCGAAGAGCAAGTGATCATGGAGGCGGTGGCCGAGCACCCCATCGTCATCGTGTGCGGGGAGACGGGCAGCGGGAAGACCACGCAGGTGCCGCAGTTTCTCTACGAGGCCGGATACAGCAGGTGGGGCCCGGGTGACGGTGGAGATGTCCCCGAAAGTCCCCAGGAGCCTGGGCTCCCGGGGATCGGTCCTGGCCCTGCTGGTCACCGCTGTGTGGCTCTGGGTGGGCTGTTGACCGTCTCTGGGCCTCCGTCCCCCTGGCTGTGAGATGGGGCTGTCCGTGCACCCCGTTCCCACGGTTGTCACGTCAGTGAAGTGACTGACTCGGGGTGAAGCGCGGAGGTCAGTCCCGGCTCTGTGTCCTCCCTCCCCCAGCGATGGCTGCATCATCGGCGTCACGGAGCCCCGCCGAGTGGCCGCCGTGGCCATGTCCCAGCGAGTGGCCAAGGAGATGAACCTGTCGCCACGGTGAGGGCTGGGCCTCCAGGGGTTAGGGGTGGGGGCCGGTCCCCTGGCCTTGCCCAGGGTCAACCGTGCGGGAGGCTGAGTAGCGTTGCAGGCCCGCGGGCCCTCGTCCATCCCCCCAAGGGCGCTGGGAGGGGCGTCACTTCTGTGTCTGAGCACAGGGTCTCCTATGTGGGACGGGTTTCTGAAGGGTCCCGGGTTCGAGTCCAGTCAAGGGCATGTACCTCATCCCCGCCCCGCCCTGGTCGGGCCGCATGGAGGGCAACCAATTGATGTGTCTCTGAAAGTCAATGGAAAAATATCCTCACGTGAGGTTAACAAACAGACAAACAAAATATTGGTTTCTTATTGTCTGATTTGAATAAAACTTAAGTAAGTAAGTAAACTGCCCGTTGTGGAAATTATGAGCCTTACCCGGCCTGTGTGGCTCAGTGGTGGAGCATCCCCCTGTGAACCAGGAGGTCACAGTTCAATTCCCGGTCAGGGCACATGCCCCGGCTGCGGGCTCCATCCCCAGTGGGGGGCGAGCAGGAGGCAGTCGATGGGTGCCTGGGCCTTGTTGTGGGCTCTGCCCTCTGGGGCCGGGCCTCTGCTGCCTGCCT